GCAGTTGTAATAAATTATCGTGCAGACGCTGTAACTTATTATTAGTTAACATCACTTGCCCTAAATCCAAAGTATTTCCAAACGTGTGATGATTTGCTCTGAGGGACAAGCTCTTGGTCTTCTGCTGTGCCAGACATTTGATTTTTGTTGTGTATCTGTCTGTTAATGTTGCGGTACTCATCTAGACTACAGCAGAAGAAAAGGAAACTGAGGCTACAGTTTGCACGGTCTCACCAGAATTGGACAACAGAAGATTGGAAAAATGTTGCTTGGTCTGCTTTGACATTTGGACGGTAGACTCAAACAAACGAAAGCATGGATCCATCCTTCTATCAGTGCTGTAATGGTGCATGGGCACACTCTAACCGAGCACTGTTTATCCACCACAACCTGTTTGAGTATTGTTGCTGATCATCACTTTATGACCACAGGGTACCCATCTTCTGATGGCTGGAAGCACCTCAAAAGCTCAAATCACCTGTTGAACATGACAATGAGTTCACTGCACATCAATGGCCTTCATACTCCTGACACACACCAGCTCTCAATCCAGTAGAGCACCTTTTGGATGTGGTAGAATGGGGGATTCCCATCATGGACGTGCAGCCAACAAATAAGCAGCACCTGTGTGATGCTGCTGTGTTAATATGGAGTGTTTCCAGCACCTTGTTGAATCTGTGCCGTGAAGAATTAAGTTTGTTCTGGAACCAACAGTGGTAAGAGTGTGGCTCCAACCAAGATATACCGATTAAAGTGGCCTGCATATATCATGATAGATTTTAATATAAGAATCAAACTATCTGTACTGCAGGAAAAGTTCAAGCACATTTAAGCTCTGTATTGACTCTGAGTGCCATTTGGTGTGAATGTGTAAGGGGAATTAGTTTAACCTTTTTTGCCAAGTAAAGCTGTTTTTTTTTTTTTTAGCTTAAGAAACTTCTACAACTCAAGTGCGGCAATAAATGTCAAAGTAAATTACAATGGCAGATAAAGAGTCTATATATGGGCACAGATGTGAAAGTGGAAGGTAGCCATGAGCTGATTCTGTTTGCAGGGTTGGTTTACATCGCAGGACGTGATGGACAACAGACCCGTCTCCCAGGCTAGTGCTGCTAATGACTCTGAGGCCACTTGTAGTGACTACTTTGGTCAGGAGAAGTTACTTTCAAAGTCACATTTGCTAGTAACGAGCACAATCCTTAACCGCTTGTTTGGATCCATATAGATGCTCACGTGATAACACAGTAAATGCTTAATTGCATTGCTGTGTATCTCCTTTAAATATTTAACAGATGCAATTTCATTCAGTCTTGCCTCAACAAGCTGCAGAACAATCAATACAGTAGTTTGCAATTGTGAAACAATTCCAGAGCAAATCTAATCTACCAAAACATCTATGTTTAAAAGGCATCCCAATAAAATGAAAAGCATACAGAAAAAATATTCAGCCTTAAATACTGCTGCAAAATTTGAGTAGAGGTTACAGTTTAATGTCTTTGTGTGAGGTTTTGGAGTTGCTGCAGGAACATGAAGTTATCTTCATTTTTCAGCAGACGCACAAGCATCTTAGATTTGTAGTGTGTAGTTTTGTCCGCAAGATGTTTGAATCAGCTTTCGCTGTTGCAGAGGAATCACATGGAGAGGCACCAGTGAAGTAGGAGAGACAAATTGGCAGGCAGCAGGGGTTTGAGTATACACCTGTCATGCTTAGCTGTGTTGATACAGGGCGGCCCAGTCCTCAGCTTTATTTACTGACATGGCCCTGCCTTAAAATCTTGGCCGTGTTGCTCCAGTGTGGTGGTCACATGTTCACTTTGTGTTCCCGGGTGATTATTTTTCCCCACACAGTCCAAACACGGACCGGTCACATGAATTGCAGACTCTGTGTTTCTAATCCCATCACAAGTTGTTATTTCTTTAAGGTGTTTTTCTATCGCAGCCAGCTACACGAGTGAATGAATGTTCAGACACGCTCCGTCTCTGGGAAAACAGCTCTCTGATTTTATTTTTGAAGCAATTTATTTCCAACTTTCTATAACAAATTCAAAGACTGTAGCTCAGGTCCGTCTGCCACTGTCGGGTCCATAATATTACATCGAATCACTCAAGCCACATTTAGAAGCATCACACGACCATCTACTTATTTTATGTGTAACATATGTCCTCTGTACTGATGCGGTCATTTGCTTACTTCAGATTTCAATTAAATTCAGCTAATCCAATGTTTTTTATATACTGCCAAATCACAACAGTCTCCTTAAGGCGCTTTATATTTATAAGGTAAAGACCCTGAAACAATACAGAAAAAACACCAACAGTCAGAGCACCCCCTATGAGCAAGCACTTGGCGACAGTGGGAAGGAAAACTACCATTTAAACAGGAAACCTCCTGCAGAACCAGGCTCAGGGAGGGGCAGCAATCTGCCCTACCTTTTTTTTCAGATTATATTAAATTCATATGACTTATGTTGAAACATTTCAGGAAAAAAAGTATTTTTTGTTTGTTTAGATACAGTATTGAATAAAAGCCTTTAGCCACCCCTTATTTCTACTCATTCCTTTATATTTTTCAGGAAAATTGGGGAAGAGGTGCCCTGATTTACTAAATATTACAGTATACATTTACAGTATATAAGACACAGAAGGAATCTGTACAGTCAATATTTGGTATGGCCACCTTTTGTAGCTGTCAAAATGTTGGTGCAGCAACAGTCTGTAACCTGGCAGTGCAAGGAATATAAGTTTCATTAGCAATGTGTTGTTATAGTTCACAAAGACGGTTGGACACACAGCAATGATGTTGGAGATTGCAATACTCAAATAAGACTAATGAAAGTCAACCAGCTGACAGCATCATACTGTAAAGCTTATATTCTACACAGTACTAAAAGTTTTGTTGTGGATACCAGCTTACTGTAAAACCTTCAGGGTATTTCTGGAAAGAACTTATCAAATTTCCCTGTTACAGGGTAAGATGTGTGAAAAGGACAAGTATAAAGGCACAGCCATACAGCTTTGGGGGGCAGTACTTAGAAATAGCGTTGGCGACAAGTGAACTTTCATGGTCATATTAGAGGTGACTACCTTCTCTCAGAAGCAAAGAAGGGAGCACAATGCTTTTGTTAATGCACAGTTAAAAACATTCAAGAAAAACATCAGTGCAGATAGTTGGGCTCACAGTGTGTCTAAAGAGTTTGTGTGTTACTTGACTAAACTTAACCAAACCATAAAGAGGTCCTAGCACACTTTGTCATGTAGACAGAGGATGATGAATATGCGCTCTTTGTCTTTAACTAACGCTAATCACCAAGGGAGAGCCTGCGTCCACACATTTCCTACTGCCCCCGAAGAATCTGACTGACGTCCACTGTCGCTCCCCCTCGTTGGGCTGAATAGACAAATCCCAGAACATTAGGCCTCTCACTGGCCAGCCTTTGCGCGGTGAGAGGACCGTGGCCCCGTAACAAAGGCGAGGCCAGCGGTGGAGGCTCTGCTCCTGTCGCTTCATTAAGCAGCAATGTAAGACCCAGCAGGCTGAAAAACCTCTGCCTCCACACGTATTCAGTCCTCCCAGTGAGCAGTAGACAGGCAGACATTCACCGCCTCCATTCTTTGTAGTGCGTAGCAGCTGCACTGAAACTGGTTTAAGGGTTAAAGAAAAAGACGCCGCTGTGAATGGGCAAGAAATATGCTGCCCTGTAGTGTTGAGGATGTTCAAGTTTTCAATACATAGTTGGAACATTATGGCCTTTTCCATAAACTCATTTATCACTCAGCTCAGACATTTTCAGAGTCAAATTTGTGCTCTAGTCCCGCCTAACCCTCAGGCGACAGTGTAGCTAGATTCAGGCATTTCACGTGCTCTCATGGTGAAGGTGTCTCCTGTAGTTAGTCTTCAGCTACTTAAACGCTTGCTCACATCTGAATGGTTCACTGGCCAGTACAGGAGTGGAGCTTAAAACAGAAATTTATTAGATGATTCAAAAGACATTTTTTTCCATTTCAGAGCTCATACATAGAGTCATTTCACATGCAAAAACATTTAAAGGTCTTTATCCTTGTTTGCATCCACATTTTTTTTAATTTAGCAAACTTTAAATATCTTGGTGAATGCATGCAGCCAATGAAAAGTGATAGTAACATCCTTTATTGGTGGGTGTCACTCTGTCCTGTCCTGCTCTGTTTCCAGTCTGTGAATTTCTAAATAAATGAGAAAATGTAGCCCCACAGAAGTGTGCGTGAAAACACAAAGACCCAACACATTTGGATTAGACGTTAGCCTGTAACTAACTTGCCAGCGTCAGTATGTATGCTACAGCTAGTATGTGGCTGCATTTACTCTACCAAACAGAGTATCTTGAACGCTGCCTCCCTCTGTGTGCTGCACGTGAGAAAGCAAAAGTCTGATACTTGTCTGACGCAGCTGGATGGAAATTTGTAAACTACATAAAAGAGCCTTTGATCTTTGTGCCTAAAGTCACCATCAGATCATCACCTTTGAGCAGATTCTGATTCATATAAAATGAATTCGACCCTTCATGTGGCACACCCTCCTGTTTGGCTCTGTGCCCGGGGCTCATCTCTGAATGGATCCCCTCAGTCAGAAAGAGGCACCCAAAGTTTGAGAGCTGGCGTTAGTGAAGATTGGCGGCTCTGGCCTTTTGAGGTGAATTAGCCATGACCGAGTCCTGCTGACACTGAGGCGATGGACACCAAAAGCAGACAGACTGAAAGTGAGGAGGGACAGCGGGGCCGGTCGACTGGCAAAATTAATTTAGATGAATGGGCAGGAGGACGGAGAGAAGAGAGTGTGTGCAAGTGTGAGCTATTACTGAGTGGATATGGATTTTTAGAGTCCAGCACTGATGTATTGAGTTTTCTAGAGTGATTATCTAAATGCCAAAAAATATAAGGATATTTATTTGTCACAAGGCTGATTGGTTTACTCTCCCTGCCATTACTGTCTGGTTGATTGACAGATATCACTTCTGCTCCGACAGGTGATTCCTGAGGACCTGATAGAAGACTGGATGTGGTTGTAACTATGGTAACATCAGGGTGGGGGGTATGGGCCCTCTCCCCCTGTGGCCTTGTGCTGGTCATCTGTTTATCCATGTGTCTGTCAGAGGAGCCTCACATCAAGCCTGCCGACTGCAGCAGAAAGGAACATCCTGTTGTTTCCTACCAAGGTGAGCAAAGAAACACACCACTGATAGAGTGGGGAGGAGGGCCACGAATGAAGTTAGGGCTCAAAAATGAAGGCACGCTTGCAAAATCAGGAACTTTGTACATTTTAATCACTTTAGTTTAGGCCCACCCCATCGTAGCAACTTATGTGCACATGCCAAACTGAACAAAGCCTCCAACCTAGCACCAAAGTTCATGCTGAAGGGAGACACTTTTTTAGCTGAAATAAGAGACTGTGTTGCTTGCACATTTACCCATTGTGAAAAGAGGACAACGTATTTATTTTCCACAAGACAATTTCTGTTTTCAAACAACATAATTTGTGTTGTTTTTTTTATGTAAGAGTACACACACAAATATATGAGAAAGTCGGCGAATTGAAAAGAGTCACGCACACAAAGGCCGTGTTTCTTTGAGCCCACTTTCAAAGTGATGATTTTCACATGCAGCCGGTTAGTCCACGTACCCAACATCAAGATCAGAGATCTTAACCTTGTCACACAACGATCGGGTTGTCATGCTGATGTTGACAATTAGGCAAACTTGTAGACATGCATGCGTTTCCTAGACTGTCTACAGTTCTCAAATTCAGGCTCTTTAAGCAGGTTGTTGTGAGCGAGCAGTGTGGTAGCCTTATTGTAAAATGGTAATCAAAATGCATCTTTTGCTTGAATAAGTGACGTAAAGGCTTTGGATTAAGGGTTGTATGAGGACCAACTGTATGCAAAAGGCTACATAAGATATACATTTTCGATTTAAATTAAAGTATAAAAAAACTGTATATGTCTGCCCCTTCTGATTTTATCACCCTACATTTTGATCATACTCTCATGTCAAACCATGGCTGCTAAACAGTGCTTTACTCCAGTGCTTCACTGAATAAGAACGTACATATATGGATCTAAAGATCCCTTGGTAATGTTTACTTTAACTTTGTATAATTTTTTCTTGGAAGCACAAGGAGGTTCTCTGGCCAGACCCTGCTACACAAACAATAAAGAGTCCCTGAAGCTGAAATGGTATCTTTGTGAAGGAGCTTTGGTTGGGTCACAAACATTTTATGGTCCTTTGTAAAGTTAAATAACGATTGCATAATTGTATAACAATCTTCACTTATCCACCAACTTTAAATCAATGCCATCTCTCAACATTTCATTCGCCGCTCTTTAAAAACTGATTTTCGTTGGGTTTGTATATTCAGCTATAACCACCACAGCAACAACGATTGATTAGTTTGCATTCAAAAAATGCTCTCATGACAATTTATCAGCACAGCAACCTGGGTGCTTGCACAAAAGTCTTGTCCAAATCCATAAAAGCTTTAAACGTTTAGAATGTCATTTCACCTACTTTTGTTGCTCTAATCACTGCTGTCTAAACGCTGTTGCACGGCTTGTTCTATTGCTCTCACAGCCATATTGTAACCAACCATAAAACCCACAACAGTCTACAGCTTTTGAGAAATTATGTTTGTTAAATGCCACTGGAAATGGAAATAGACAAGGAACAGCAATAATAAATAATAATTATTTTTATCCTGGACAAGTTATGTTTCCGTCTGAAAAGAAGAGAAAAACACAGGACACAGAATGAAGATGATATAACAAGCAAAAGGTGAGTTTTAACTGATATAGAAATTGTAAAAATCATTAAAGAAACCAAAAAGGAACAACTGACAAAGGGAGACACAAAAAGCCACCATGTATAGCAAGGTAAAACGATAACAGCTGGAAGCAATCAGGGCATTGTAGTGGTGGAAAAAGACAAAGACAAGAGGTAAATAGAACACAAGAAAACAACAAACAATAAAATAAAGCAGGAAATGACACAAGAGCAGACAAGGAAGCACAGAATACACAGGAAATACACAGTAAATCTGAAGAAACGGACCAAAGAAACCAAGCATCTGAATTGGGAAGAAAGATGATTGAGAAAGATGATTATTTCAGAAACTGCTGATCTGCTGGATTTTCCCAAATAGGTATGCAGAACAGCATCTTTGCACCCTTGGAAGCACTCAGCTCTGCTGCAGCAGCAGAAGACCACACTGGGCAGTCAGCTAAGAACAGGAAACTGAGGTTACAATTATCACCAAAGTTAACAATGGGTCAGACTGGTGGTGGTATAATGGTGTGGCACACTTAATACCAGTCGATTGTTTAAACTCCGCAGCCTACCTGAGTCTTGCTGCTCACCATGTCTGTCCTTGTATAACCACAGTAGACCCATCGTCTGATGGCTGCTCCCAGCAGGATAAAGCTCATATCATCTGACACTGACTTCAAATCTAGCAACTGCGTGACTCTATCACATCCAAAATCTGCGAGGAACGTTTCCAGCATCTTGTTCAATTTATGCCATTAAGAATTCAAGTTCTTCTGGTGCCAAGAGCAGGTCTGACCTGACATCAGCAAGGTATCCCTAATATAGGATCCAGGTCCAGTAATAACAATGATCATTGCTGTAATCTTATTTTCTTTCCTGTGCTCATTTTGTTAAATAAAATTGCTAAAATGCAAAGAAGTTTACAAGCAGCAGACGGCAACTTACATAATGCAAAGTGTAGACAGTTCTGCAATCTGAAATGAAACTAGACGCTCTTAGTTAATTGGCTCTTTTGTTGCAAGAATGAGTGTCGATTTCTGATTCCCTGTAGTTAACTAATTTCTTCTTAAAAGAGAAAGTCCAAGAAACAAGTCGCTTCTCCTTGTCAGCTGTCAGATTGGTATTTTGAATGAGAGACTTAGACTGCCTGCCCTTGTCCGCTTTGCAGCAGCTCATTATGTACACAGGGAAGTGCACAAAAGCAATTTGGATTCAATAGCTCTCCAAAAATCACTGCTGTTCAAGTGATGGTTTGTATTCATGTTGTTTTGTTGCCCTCTTTCAGAGCTATTCAAAGCAGAACTGAGACCAGACAAGAATGATAGTTCAGTTTCTAATAAGCATCTTGACACGCTGGTGCTCATAACCTTTCAATTTGTTGTTTTATGTGACATTAATTGAGATTAACCAATACAAAGTGTGAAGCGTGACTTTAATATAAGGTTGTGAAATCTGGCAGCACTATGAACTCTTAGTTGGAATTAATTTGCATTCATAAGGATTTGTTGGAATTGTGTTTATCTCATGCATCGAGGCTTACAAAAGACACGTTGAAAGTTGAAACTGTGCTTGGCAATTTCTGCAAAAAAAATTGAATGTAAAGATTTATGTGAAATTAATAAAGGTGTTGATGTTGTGTCTGCAGCATGGCCTCATTAAATGCTCTTCTTCAGCTGTCTAATGACTGTGAAAGGGCCTTTGATGTCATTATTTTGACTGGATGTCAGTTTACATTCAGCTCAAAGTGTTTGCCTGGCAAACCGTGCTGCTTTTGTTGTTGATACATTTTTTTTTCCCACAAGCTGGCTATCAAATGAGAGGAACAGGCATTTAGTCGTGAGAGGCAGCAGTAATTTGCTCTGAAACATTGCGGGAAGCATTCATTTGTATGTGGTTTGTTTGCCCTCCCCGAAGCTCATGTAAAACAGCTAAAGCAACTTTATTTACCGTTCAGTTCTGATTGGCTGTCATACTGCTCAGGTGGTGGTTTTCAATTAAGGGCATGTAATATCAACCATGATAGACTAAAGTTATAAAGAACTTTCAAAACAAAGTTCTTGATAAGATGGAAAAGTCTTAAGCCACCCCTCATTTCTTTATATTTTGCTTAAAGGGAGGCAGACATACTTATCTTTTAAATTGGTTTTGAGCAATGTTTCTTCAGGATTGGGTGTTGTCTTTTTCACATGTTTTTAGCCCAGTCCTTGTACTTGACCTGGCAAAAAAGGCACCTTACTCAAGCGATGAACCAGTGTTGGGTCTACACACAATGGACAACTTAGGAAAGATCAAAATTTTAATTGGTTCTTTGTGTATCTTTAGGCACTTTGCGACTAGCAACCCGTTACAAAACAAATAATTTGTTCCCATTTGTTTAATAGAAAGACATAAAATTGTAGGTGTGTCCCAAAGAGCTACAATGTAAAGGTCTGTAATATCTCAGTATGGTATGCAATGTGTCCTTAAAAAAATCTGAGACAACTGCACAAGTTGAGAGAAAAAAGTAAAGACCTGACAGATATACCTTACTTATCTTATTACTTTGACATTGAACAGTCTTATGTAATGGTAAATTTATGTTGTTGAATTCAAGATAAATTATTTCAAGAGATTGCTAATTAATTAGAACAAGTAATATAATATGAAAATTGGGAGACTTCCAGATCTTTATTTCCTACCCTATAATTTTGGAAAATAAATCAGTACTTTCAGTCTGTTTAAAAGCCTCCTTTCTGGTCTTAGGCCCTACGATTAAAGATGAGTTGTAAAGTTGGCAAAAGGCAAACACTGGATAATGGATCTTTTTCATCTTCTTCTCTTGTCTCTCATATTTCATGTTATCATCTCCTGCTTTTCCTTTCACTTACTTTTATACTCTTTCTTCTTATTTTTTTCCCCTCACTCCTTATCATTTGATTATTTGTGCATCCAGCACTGAGGTCTTGGGTGTCTGAGTTCTCACATCCAGGTGCAAAGGACTTCTCCCAACTTGCTTTGGACCTGAGACGAAACCAGCTTGTTGTAGGAGCAAGGTACCAAATAGCATGCATTACTCAAACAGTAATCATACAGCATGTTACTAGCATACAGTGGTGTAAAGTAGATACATGATGTGTCATCATAGAAGCGTGCCAGCGTTCATATCCTGGACAAGCCCCCAATTCTTACATGATGATATTTCTGGACATAAACACGGGAAATACACACAACATTTATTTTTTAAAATTAAAACACAAAGTCCCGAAAGCCCAAAGACAGCACTAAAGGGTAAAGACAGCTCTTAAATGGAGTAAAAAGACCCAAAAGGAAGAAGAAAAAATCCAGCAACACAAGCTATACAGTTATTTTGCCCAGGCGGCACAAATGTGTTTTGATCAAACTGTGTCTGGACAGAAGTTGGGAGATACTAGAGGATAACATTTATATGCTGTACACTGCTACTGTGAGCAGTCTGTTGTTTTAGCTCTAAAATAAAATATCTTTTACAGAAATTTCCTCTTCAGACTGAGTTTGAATAATACCTCCCTCATACAGGTAAGGTTAAGACTACACAAAAATGAACTACTGTCAAAGACATTTTATTTTTAAACATTTTAACAGTATCTCTTATTAAATATAAAAGGTCCAATATAAAAAAAAAACATTCTACAATTGAACATTTCTCCTCAGGCAACAGAATGGGCATCCGATGAAGACACAAAGCGCTCATGTCAGAGCAAAGGCAAATCTGAGGTATTGTGCTGTGACTGAAATACAGATATTTGTCTGTGTATTCAGAAACATATTACGTTAGACTGGATTATGTTATTATATGATTATATTATATTGGACATTTTGATGACATGTCATGAAACAGTAAAACTGAGTTCTGGCGTATTTGTCTGCAGGGTGAATGCCAAAACTATGTACGGGTTTTGCTGATAAGCGGAAGGACGCTCTTCACATGTGGGACCAATGCTTTTACCCCGGTCTGCATAACCAGACAGGTTAGTAAAATGGCAGTTTTTGCACTTAAGTAGAATTAATGAAACTATATGACAAGAAAATACATATTTTATAGTCTAAAATCCTTTTGGGGTAATTAAAAGAAAGGCAATTATAAGTTGCTAGAGCTCAATGTAAAATGGAAAAAGGACATGGAATTTAAAAAGGATAAAATCAAGAAATCTGACAATAAAAGTCATTTTCTTCTAGTCACTTTGATTAGCTAATTTATCTTTTCTCTATATATTTTGTAATTATATTTAGTAATTATAAATAGTTTTGGTGCCTTTGTGATCCTCAGATGTCTTCAGCAGCTTTGTGCATTTGGGAAATGATAGAAACTGAAGATTACATTATTAAAAGTTTTGAAATTCATTAAAAGTTTTGAAATAATGTGAATAAAGCGATAAAAACAGAAAGAACAAATCGCTTGTCAACCCACTAAAATAGCAGGAAATGCTTAGTTCAGTTTTCCCTTCTTTTCGTCAGATTTCTAACCTCAGCCAGGTGTTAGACACTGTGAACGGTGTTGCCCGATGTCCCTACGACCCGCGTCACAACTCCACTGCCATGATCACAGAAAAGGGCGAGCTGTATGCTGCCACAGTGATTGATTTCTCTGGACGTGACCCAGTGATCTACAGGAGCCTGGGCAACATGCCGCCCCTGCGCACCGCCCAGTACAACTCTAAATGGCTCAACGGTTAACAAAGCACCACAAAGTTTGTCCTTTTCATCACTCTTTCGTTGGTCCATCACGCTGACCTGTGTCTCTGCCTCTTCTATTCTTCTAGAGCCTCATTTTGTGTCTGTTTATGAGATTGGTCGTTTTGCGTACTTCTTCTTGAGGGAAACTGCGGTGGAAAATGACTGTGGGAAAATGGTGTTCTCTCGAGTGGCTCGGGTCTGTAAGAATGATATGGGTGGACGCTTTCTATTGGAGGACACCTGGACCACCTTCATGAAGGCTCGCCTCAACTGCTCACGCTCAGGAGAAATCCCCTTTTACTACAACGAGCTCCAGAGCACCTTCTACTTACCTGAGCAAGATCTGATTTATGGCATTTTTACCACTAATGTGTGAGTTCTGTTTGTTAATAATGTCATTTCATAGACTTTATGTCACAGTCTGGCGAGGGCAGACTGTATGAATTGACAAGAAGGACCCAAAATGCAGACTCCAAGGAACAGGGAACAACACTTGAATGTTAACAAAAAGCAAGCCGTTTAATATGGCTGGTAAAAAAGGAACAAACAAAGGGCAAGGCAGACTGAAGTAAAACTAACATTACCCTAAACTGGGAGAACTAAACAAACAACAAGAAAAACCTAGACATGAAACTTGGAAACATGGCGTGGCCAACAGACGACCTGACAAAGAATGACCAGAACACACCGACTAAATACACACAGGAGGATAATGAGGGAAATGGAAACACATGGAGAAACAGCTGACACACATGAACATAACAACGTCACAAGAGGAGAGTAAAACTAAAAACATTGAACATAGGAACACCGGACCCCTTCAAAATAAAACAGGAAACATAATGCAGACATGACAATATGAGACTCACAGACATGAAACACATGAAGGGCAAGGGAGACTTCACAGGGGTTGAAAACACAAGGGGGAACTGATAAGCAAATGAACATAGGAAACCTAATGAGCTTAAACAAATAAACATCAAAATGAACTAAAACTCAAAACACTGGGTCACTAGGTCATAGAGTATATCCTCCTGAGAACCAGTCTGTTCATTTATGTCCTCTTTAATGGACGTTTGTTTTTGGTCAATATATTTTGACTTATTTGAGCTACCCTAATAAGTCCTGTTGTTTTCAAAAGTGTGTTTGGGTGGCCTCTTTCAGCTCCAAATAGGCAGGACATCACAAAAAAGTTACAATGAAAGAAACTTTCCTCGGTTCTCAGGAGGATATGAAAGAAAGATGCACTCACTGTAGCCTCACCAACAAATTTTGTGTTTTTGCTGTTACCAGCTTGCTTAACGTGGCTAAATATAGACACAAGGATGGAGTGCTAAGCTAGCTATTGAAAGCTAGCTAGGTTAGCAAATTGTGTTCCACTGACACACATGCTGCCACACTGACACACTGTCAGTGTCTGTATATAAGCATGTGTTTTGCTATGTTCAATTTTAAACTTGCATTTATTTAATATAAATTAACACTGTCGCTAATAGTCCTTTTGCAACAGTAGTCATTAGCCAATTTGTCCTAAATACAATCAATAATGCATAGAATTGACTCAAAAGAGTTAGACAGCCTGTTAGTACAATGAACTACCCAGAAGGCAATACTGTCTGTCACATAATTTCACAAAATTGGTGGAAAATATGGGCATGAATTAGCTGAGGTGAGACTATAGCTAGCAGCTACAGTTTTCTGTGCACCTACAGGTCACTCCAGGTCTACACAACCTTAATTACACATAGCTTTAAAGCATTTGTTCCTGGACAGCTGCCATGTACTTTGTCATTGTCTATAAAAACCAAGACAGGTTATTATACTGTGCTAGAAATGTGCTTTTTTCTTCTTTAAAGTCGTAAATGTTAACACATTGGCCATTAAAGGAACTGGATTATTTTGGCACTTGTACATTGCCTTATTTAAAGCCAAGTAAAAAACACTTGGTTTGGTAAGTTACAGTGATATTGTGTACATTAGTCTTTTTCTGGCTAATATACCTAGACAGCATTTTGAGGCTTTTTAATAAAACTTTGACCAAAAGTACTAACTATTAATATCTCTTATCATGTTTGTATGAAAGGTAATTTATTTTGGCAAATGTGTCCTCTCGCATACCAGCTGTGCCACTGGGGCTTGCTTTAAGACTACACACTAATGTTTATTCCATAGAGTAGTTTCAACTGAGGCAACTAAAAGGTTATGTTTGTATTTTACTGTTAAAATAGAAATATGTGCTTTTCTGTAGAGATGTGCTCAAGAATGTTTGCTTTCCTTCACATTCATTAGCTAAGACCTGAGCATTGTAATTTCCTGTGCTTCTCTAGAAACAGCATATCAGCTTCTGCTGTCTGTGCTTTTAATCTGAGCGCCATCACCCAAGCCTTCAATGGCCCATTTCGATACCAGGAGAACCCGCGCACTGCTTGGCTGGCCACTCCAAACCCTATACCCAACTTTCAGGTAACTCATTTCAAAACATGGACAATGACAAAGAATTCAGACCTCTTCATACATATGTATTTTTCTCTGAGAACATGAGGTTGGTGAGGACACTAAAGCAAACAGCTTTATCTTGCCACAGTTGCCCAGCAATTCCACGAAGGCTTGTAAAGAAATTTTCAAAAGACTGACATCCACTTCATCACTCTGTGCTGATTGCAGATATCTAAATGCAGTGCAGCAGAGAAGTTTTGCTCAGCTCCAACAAATACATGTCCCCAAAATAAATGCTTGGCAAATTTCCCAATGCATCTGCAAAGTGCTGTTCAGTTTGAGCTACAGGGAAACTGTAGTCACATTTCCTGTTGTATAATGTCTGTATATAAGCTTGTGTTTTGCTATGTGCAATTTTAACCTTGCATTTATTTAATATAAATTAACACTGTCGCTAACAGTCCTTTAGCAACAGTAATGATCTTGCCTGAAATTTTGTCCTTAAATATAAAACAAAAAAAGCTTAACAATTTTTTCATGAAGCATTTGTTGCCTGTAAGATTGCCATTAAGCTAGCATGCACAAAACTATTTACATGCCTAACGATAATAAGATATCCATCATCGGACTTTACCCTTTTTCTTTTTTTTTTACTGTGGACACTGTAAAAACCAGGAACTTTTCTGTCATTTAATTGTTTATAACTTCATTACTTTGGTGTAGCATGCATAGCTGCAGGGGAGGTCTTTATCAGTTGAAAAAGATATAAAACTTGTGAAAATACAGTTAAAAGTACCAAATATCTCTCCTCCACATTTTCTAGCGCCTTCCAGTGGGCCAAATTTTAATCTTTACTGGGCCAGTAAAGATTAAGGCCTTATGTTTAACACCCCTGCCTTATGTGGAGGTGCAGTGCACAAACACTGAATGAGGAGCAGCATCAGAAGAAAATGGGCTTTTGAGGTGGAGAATCTTAAGAGACGTGTGTTTAAATGCATGTTTCAGCTAGACGAAGAACTAAGAGACTGCATAATTGGCCAGTATATTACAAATAAGACTTTTCTGGATTATGAATTATGCAGACTGTCTATAATAACACAGTATAAGAAGTCTAAGGAGCTTGGAAAGAAAAGCGTCTGGAGTTCAAGTTGCTTGAAGACGTTTCACCTCTCATCCGAGAAGCTTCTTCAGTTCTAGGGTCAAATGGTGGAGAGTCCCAGATTAAACCCTGTGGGAGTTTCCCCCCAAGAGGGACAAAAGGACCCCCTAATGATCCTCTACCTAATCACATGAGCCAAGGTGTGAAAACGGGCTTCTTTCCAAGCTCCTTAGACTACGATGACCTGGAGGACTAAGAACCTTCACAGACACAATATGAGAAGCTTCCCTTTCACTAAACGCCCTTCTGCTGCCTCCTTCTTGACTGCTCAGTGTGGCACGTTAGAGGAGGGCGCCAATGGGGGAAACCTGACAGAGCGCAGCCTCCAGGACGCCCAGCGGCTCTTCCTCATGAATGACGTGGTCCAGCCAGTAACCGTCAACCCCCTGCTCACCCAGGACAACCTACGTTTCTCTAAGCTGGTGGTGGATATCGTGCAGGGCCGACACTCTCTCTACCACGTCATGTACATCGGCACGGGTGAGACATGTTCTAATTAAAAATTAGAAAATAATCACTTGAACCGTTTTTTTATCTGCTATCCTGGAGCTTGCTCTTATTACTATTATCTTAAAAGAATATGGCACCATTCTGAAGGCTCTCTCCACAACCAATAAAAGCCTGCATGACTGCTACCTGGAGGAGCTCAGGATCCTGCCCGAAGGGAAAGTGGGGCCAATAAAGAGTCTGCAAATTCTCCACAATGACAGATCACTGTTTGTGGGCCTCAATGACAGATTGGTGAAGATCCCATTAGAGCGCTGCTCCAGCTACCCAACTGAACGGTTTGGTCCAAGATTTTCTACAATGCTTTTAGTCTTTATACCAAATAGAAACAAATATACCTACAGATTAATGAACATAAGAACCATAAATATGACTGAGTATAAATATTTAGCATAAGAAAAATGAAAAATTGTAGCCTTTAGTGTGTGTGAGCCTGCACATATATTGATTTTCTGGTGCTGGTGATGAGTGGGCAAATCTACTAAGAAACACACGCGGGTGTCCAAGTCTTAAGGGCCTGCGAACAAATGCTGACAAAGATGATTCTGTTAAGAGCCCTATTTATCTTCCCTACAAAGAGACACATTTTGGACTGTCAGGGTACAGTTCTGCAAGACTCAGAGCAGACATATCAAGCAGGCTTTTATGAATTTTGTTGACAATGAGTACACTGCTGGAATAGTTGACAGCTTTCTCACTCAAAACACAACAGGAGATCTTTTATGAGCAGAAACACAACAATCAGTAGATTGTCCGACTTTGTGTCAGCTTAAAAATCTGCAAACTGCTAAAGAAAGGCATCTACAGACACTGATAGTCTATCTAAATACCTGTTAGCTCCTGCATGGAGGCCCGGGACCCTTACTGTGGCTGGGATCATAAACAGAAGCGGTGCACCACCATCGAGGAGAGCTCCAACATGAACCAGTGGACGCAGAACATCACTGAATGCCCTGTAAGACACTGGGTTTGTCTGTTGTATAGATCTTTCCTGTCTCACTTCTACGGTAATAAGAATTTCATCACAAGTTCCCTGTTTGATAATAAAAAACAAAAACTCATTATCACTAGCCTAATATAGCATGCTAATTATCATATGTGATTCTCTAATCCTCTCTGGAGGTGAGGAACCTGACTCAGGATGGTGGTTTTGGTCCGTGGAAGCCTTGGCAGCCTTGTAACCACGATGATGGTGATGGCTCCATCAGCAGCTGTTTGTGTCGGTCGCGCTTTTGCAATGGACCGGTGGCCAGATGTGGAGGGATTGAATGCAAGGGCCCGACGATCCAGGTGGCAAACTGCTCCAGGTATATTTCTTTTCATGCAGACATCCATTATTCCCATACTAATCCTTTGAAATCAATCTTTGAAAAAATGCACTGTTATGTAAGTAAATCTAAAAATAGTCCTTTATGTTCAACTATATTCTAACAACTAATACACTCATAAAAGGAGACAGTTTGCTTAAAAAACACATTCGTTTTAAAACATCAGGCTCAGTCACATCCCTTCTTATGTTCTCTTTCTCAGGAATGGCGGCTGGACTCCCTGGTCATCGTGGGGCCAGTGTAGCAGCAGCTGCGGCATTGGGTTTGAGGTGAGGCAGCGCTCCTGCAATAACCCCGCACCTCGCCACGGCGGTAGAGTCTGTGTCGGCCAGGGACGGGAGGAGAGGTGAGGAGGTTACTTCAGAATTTAGCGATCAGGCCCGATTACTGCATTACAAAGCTCTGTGTGTGAGTGAGTGTGCATTCCTCTTTGTATTTCCAGGCTGTGCAATGAGAAAAAGCCATGCCCACTTCCCATAGTGTGGACTGCGTGGGGACCCTGGGCTCACTGCAGTGCTGACTGTGGTGGGGGGGTCCACTCCAGGACGAGAAGCTGTGAGAACGGAAACAGCTGTCCTGGATGTGCTACGGTATTTTTGCTCTATATGTGAAGAGAAGAGAGTAGGCAAAATAATATCCGAGTTGATTTACAGACATGAGTGACTTACTTGTCTGTTTTTATTACACAACAAGATTAAGGACGTTTGTTTTCCCCACAAGTACCTCAGATTGTACAGCAGGTACACACAGTCCCCGCTCTTTCTGCTCAGTCTCAGTCTGCTAGACTTGGGGGAAAACATCTGTCTATCTGTCCACATCATAGGCCACTTTATTAGGTATACATTTGAACTCTGAAGCCCTGCCATTTTTTGGAAACACTTGGGAAATCTGAGCCAACCCAGTCTATCTGCTCTGCTATTCTATTTCTAGAAAGCTTCTACATTTTTTTTCATTTTGTATTGTCAGAATTATTTATTTATACTTACTAACAATATTTATACTTACTTTTTTGAGGGCAAAAAAAAAAAGTCAAAGTTAGCTGTTGTAGAGAAAAACTTTCCGAGCACTACCCAATTAAAGGGCTGGAAGTCCTTCTGCATTAAACTTTAATGTCTGTACCTGTACCCTCTCCCAGGAAAACTGTAATGTTTGTGTTGTTTGGCAGGATATAATAAGGCAGCAGGCTCTCTCTGCAATCAATTGGGAGATGTAGCTGTGATAGGATAGACAGCAGTAGCTGTAGCCTGCTGGGATTTGCCTTTTCATTAGCTCTAAAGTTGATGAGCTGTTTCCATCCTGTTCTGCAGGAGTACAAAGCCTGTAACCTGGAGGCTTGCCCTGAAGTTCGTCGTAACACCCCCTGGACCCAGTGGATGCCCGTCAATGTAAGCCAAGACGGGTCACGGCAGGAGCAGAGATTCAGGTACACATGCCGGGCACTTCTGCCGGACCCCCAGCAGCTCCAGCTGGGCAGGAAGAAGGTGGAGACCCGTTTCTGCCCCAACGACGGGTCTGGAGCTTGCCAGACTGACTGTGAGTACTGGAAATAAGCTGGGAGATGTGGAAAAGCGAGTTTAACAACTTAGGGAAACTAGAAATGTTGCCATATTTTCTGTTTGTAAGTCACAGCAGATGTGCTTGATTGTAAATGTGCAAACACAGCTGTTGCTGTGATTACCTGCTAGAATGCAGGTGTACCTGGATTCCACAGGGAGGGTAAGCGGGGGTAAATTTTTTAAGGTTTGAATCATTTTTGTGAAGTTTTTCGACTCCATACAGCAGTCGTACACACGCTATCTGCCTAGAGCTGTATCTGTCTGAGCTTTTATCAGCACTGCTGGTGGCATATCTCCCAGTATGCCACGCTAAACACAGCTGGTTTCCTGTCTGTGGACATCAGTCAGCAGATTGATTAAACATCATTGAACTGTTGTGGGGAAGCAGATGTCCTCTTCCTTCATCCCTCAGAGTCATCTAAGCTTTTGTTTTTTTTCTCTTCTCCCTCATAGAATCTGGATTGTATCACCCTTTGGGTATTTACTCCAAAATAAGTAAAGCTGAGGAAGTGGGAAATGTCATTGTTTTTCGCAGCTTGTGTGACTGCTCTCAAGTTGTCATCCTCAGAAAAGAAAATCTTAATGAAATGTTTCTGGTGGCCTCATTTAAAAGCCTCAGGAAGCGCTTCTGATTCATATGTAAATAATTTGCAATTGTGGGTATACCAACTGTATGTGTGTGTCAGCGTACAGGGAAATCTAGCTCATTTTGTGCCTGCATTGTACCTCGCTAATTGTTGTTTCATAACAGGCTGGCTGCTGAGCTTAGCAATAAAACCATACAATAGCGTGTCTCCGATTTGAATTCAGAGAAAATTTCTGACTCGTTCAGCAGATTGTGGCAGATGTTGTGATCGACTTGTATATTTTTTTAGTGTAATTTGTTTCCCTTGTTTGGATTCTAAGATAGAGAACAAAATGTGTTTTATATTTGTTGCCAGCTTTGGTTGAAGACTTAATGAAGACAAGTGTCCGAACTTCATCCCAGCCACAAGGTGCCCGATGGGGATCCTGGGAAACGTGGTCCAGCTGTTCCCAGCAGTGCTCCAGAGGCTTCCGAACTCGGAAACGCAGCTGCTTGACGATAGAAGGGAGGATCAACCCCAGCGCCTGTGTGGGATCGCCGGTGGAGTATCAGGACTGCAACACTCAACCGTGTCCAGGTAACAGAGAGCTTCTAGTGCACTGTACCTCACAGACTGTACATAAATGGTGGACACAACCACAGTGACATTACCAGCTGGACACTGAGGTCCCATTAAGCATTAAGCCTAGAGCTGATGTTGATTGGGTGGTGGATCTGACTGCAGAACTGTGGTCACTGCATGCTCACGTGTTAGCGGCTAACAATCATTAGGTACCCACATCCTAAAGCATGCATACATTGATTTCCTGTCTGTCTTTATTCTAGTGGGGACGATCGTTTACAAGATGAATGTATGTTGTATGTCTCATTTATTGTTGTGTTTCATTAAATAATCAATCATTAAATCATTAATTAATTCAGTATATAAATAATTGAATATTCATTCATTTAATTGAATTTAATAATTCTTTTTTTCCAATTTTAATTTATTAATGGCACATTTGATTTATTATTTAATGATATATTTATTTAATTCGTTTTGGTACTCATGGCCCTCCGCAATAGACCTCTGCACAGTTAGACTTTTTGCTACTATATGAATCTCCCCCTGGTGGCCAGTGGAAAAAAATGCCAATTAAAAACACTTGTGCACTGAGGTCACAGCTACATGAAACTGTTATATACCATCATTAGCTTGCATTACATTGTGTTACATTATTATGGGGTTTTCTTCTAAATCTAGTGAATGGAGCCTGGTCTTGCTGGTCTGCCTGGTCCCAGTGCACGTCCAGCTGTGGAGGCGGGCACTACCAGAGGACTCGGACATGCAGCAGCCCACCCCCTGCCAACGGAGGAGATATCTGCATAGGCCTGCATACTGAAGAGGCCCTTTGTAATATACACGCCTGTGAGGGTATGAAGGGATATGTGAAGCCGCACTATGGAAGGTTTCAGACAAACCAAAGATGTGTAATGGTCACAGATGGATCAGTTGAACATATTACATCACTAGCAGATTTTGTCTGTGTCTAGGTTTGAAGACAAAAGCTTTCTAACTGAAGTGAAGATGAGTAAATTATGGTACAGATATTATCAGCAGTTATAATATGAATTTCTGTGTCTTAGGGGGGGATTCACTACAAAGGACTGCAGTTAATCTGATTTGAACATTAATGTTGTGAAGTTAAAGATAAAAGTCAGCTTATAACTTTCTTACAAACAACCCCTTTATCCAAATTTCTAAATTTTTAAAAATTCATTACAATTATTACACCATTAAAAATACTCTAGATTCTCTCAGTCTATCTAGATTAAATAACTGCTTCTTCTTTGGCCACTGATGGGAAATCTCCCCCACACGGGCCAATCAATATTTGTGATGAGAAGGAAAACAATGTGGCCGTTGGAGCCTCTCCCAGCATGCGTCGTCTGAAGGTCGGAGAAGGAACGGAAAAACAGTTAATGAAATAGCTCCAAATTTCCCTATCGACGTGAATTTGGATGCGAGCAGCTTCTTGTATATCTTTATTCCCTTGGACTTTGAAAAGAAGAAAAAAAATGCAGAGACACGGGAGGCAAATCGGTGTAATCAACTCCTCGTCCATTTTAGGCTTTTGTTCGCGAAACAAAGCGATCCCGGGAGGCACACAAGGTTGCTGACTGATGATGATGACCATTGCACTGATGCACTGTGGCCAGAACTCGTCAGGCTGCACTCTTGGTGACTTACCACACAGTTCCTCTCCTTGCAGAGGAGGTTGAGTTTGTTGGTGATTGGAAAAATGCTCATTTATTTTCCCGTTTCTCATTTGGACGTTTGTCGTTTTCCCTGATTCCTGTGTTTGCAGGTTGGGGTGAATGGACAGAGTGGGGGGACTGTGACGACGAGGGCCTGCAGCATCGCACCCGCCGCTGCGATGAGAACCAAGAGGCTGAGGTCAGTCTCTGCCAGGGCAACGTCACCCAGTCTAGGCCGTGCCAGCCTCACGAGGTGCCGGGTAAGCGCATGATCGCACATGTAAACAGGACCGCTGCAGACTGTTGCAGATATAAGCTGGAAAAATTAACTTGAATGAAAAGTTTAATCAGGCACGCTAAATGCTGACTTGTTCACTCTGCATTTGGAGAAAATTAAAAAGATGAATTAGCGGAGATGTCAGCAGCGTGCCTACCTCGAGAACAGGGAAGGCTTTGTGAGAAATTAACTACTTTTGTCTTGTTTGATCTCTCGGAGCTGCTGTGATTTTCTTTTTTCTTCTTCTCTACATTGATGGCTTTTTTTTTTTTTCTTCATTTCTCTTTCTCTGCAGTCATTTTGCCCGGTCAGGAGGACCAGAGCTGTGGAAGTGAGTGAAAACAACTGATGTCTTTCTGTTCACTCTCCCCCAAATAATTACACATTGTTCCCAGCTTACACACATACACACCTCCTGCGCTCTTCAATTCCCAGCATGAAATATCTGCAGGGTTTCCTGCTTTTCTTCCAGCGTTGCATCCAAACCAAATCAGTATCTCCTCGGTTTAATTGGAGGATGTAGCAACAACTAGCCATTCTTGTAAAAGTTATTGGCTTTCTTCTTCTCCTGATGTGTACCACACAGTTGGTACCATATTGACTTTTGTTTGTGGCACGGGATTGGCTGAAAATGTGGAATCGATATTGGTCCCATTCAGGTAGTGACATGAACTTTGAGTTGCTTTTAGTTCCTCGCTTTCTTTCCCTTCTAACAAAAGCTCAAATTTTTTACACCACCTTCTAGACAGACTATTTTCTATTACAGTGAAAATTTTACCTCAAAAGTGTTGCAAATGCATACGACATGACCCACGAGCACGAGAAATTTCACACTGCCAGCTCTTCACAGATCCACAAATATAAGCTGCGTTCAAGTGGAAGTGGAAAACTAGGAAATATAAATTCTGTATATTTTGAATATCAATATAATCCTGGTCAATGTGTTCTCGAATTTGGAAGGAAGGAAGCCTTTTTGCAAGAGAAAATGATACACAGCTGTTTGATCCTGTGTGGTCAAACAGCTTATTTGCGTCTGGATCAGACGCAAATAAGCTGTGCACACAAATAGTTACACACAAATTGCACACATTCGTAAACTTAGTTTATGCTTGCGGATCATATCGTGTGCATTTGTAACATTTTGAGGCAAACTTCACTTAAAACTTCATCAGTGTTATTTAGTGTCCTCGATTGTTTGTCATCTCAGCCTATCATTACCCATCCCCTTACAAGGCTACATTTCTCACTGGTTTAACAATGGCTCTGTTTCTGTGCTCTTCCTTCCCCGCCTCCCTGTGTACAGCCTTTACCTTGTTCCAGCTGGCAGCTGTGGGCTTAGCCAGTTTCTTTGCAGCAGCCCTCCTGTCAGCTCTGGCCTTCACATACTGTCACCACCTGAACCGACCATCGGCAGAGTCAGCGGTAATCCACCCGAGCACACCAAACCACCTCACTTACAACAAGCAGGGCAACGCCACGCCAAAGAATGAGAAGTACATCCCCATGGAGTTCAAGGTGGGCTTGTAATTACTTTAAATACATTTCTAAATGGTTGATAGACTCTAAAGGTTTTTAAGTGAGGATTTTTATAAAACACGGTTTGCCATTTTGTAGATGCTGAACAAGAACAACATTCATGTCAACGATGAGACATGCAACCATTTCCCCTCTCCGGTGCCCTCAGGCAATATGTTTGCCACCACCTACTACCCTTCCAGTTTGAGCAAGTACGACTTCCATCCAGACTCGCCCTGCAGGACCTACATGCACAGCTGAGAGGAGGCCGGGCTTCAGCCAACAAACTCATCCACCACAATGTGCTCATCATTCAGAAATCAGAGCAAAGTCTTAAATAGTCTTAAGGTAAATACCAAAATGATTTCTATTAGAGTTATTCATGAAATACCCAAATATTTGGCCATGCAAGTCATTTTGGTTTTGGACTATTTCTTTGCTTTAAAGCAGTTCCAGCTGTGTGTCACAACTCAATATCATTTTTGACCACAGCGCTGAGATTATAAAGATTTCGAGTATAAATCACTCAGATGTAAAATTCCTGTTTAAAAAATCTGACCCGTCTGCGCACCATCTCCCTGCACGATTTGTCATTTTACCCTAACAAGAATAAATGTCTGCCAGCCCAAAAACCCCGCAGTCAGTCAACGTGGACTGTGTGGTGCTGTAACTAGGGAAGATTGAATTTATTAATCCCAGATTTGGGGACTAATAATCTTCAAAATAAGGTCAATTGTGTAAATATAAAGGAAGAAGCAAAACAAAGGTGATCCCAAATTACAGTTCACATATAAAGAAGCGCTACTGAGAGCACATCGTGAGTGTCTTTTTAGTTTTCCGCATCTATAGGAAGTTCTTTAAATTCTTATATTTTGACGGTACTTTCAGTATCCCACAAAAGCCGGCAGCCTTTTCGTTTCCTCCCTTTCTTCACCATGTAGCTGCCTGTTTTCTTAGAGCCAGAATGAGAGGTGACTGGTTTACTGATTGCAGAGACTATGAGCCAGTAACCAAGAACGAGCTGTGGGTGGTCCGATCGATCCGGCCCTTGTTTCAGATGTTGTGCGTGCATCTGTTCGTGAGCCACAGTGCATCAACTTTTACCTCCCAGAGGAGGACTTGTTTTGTTTTGTTTTTTAAGGCTCGTTTGTTCTCTGATGAAACCACCATCTACAGGGATCCCCCCCGTCTACTCACTTCACCCTCCCTGAAGTGCCCTGGTCATGCTCAGGGTGCCAGAAAGCAGAACCCAAACCTCCAGGGCTTGAACTCCGCTGACATTGTGTGTAACTGGATCCACTGGACTCTTTTGCAAAGACTGATTTCCATGATAAAAAAACAGATCCATGAAATGATGGGTATTAAGGAACATCTCCACTCTGAATAAAGCTAAGAAATAAACAGACTCGCAGCTTATTCGCTTTAATTTTCATACTTAGCTGGCAAAACGATGGACAGCAATCCTGAAGAGGACATTTTTGACACGCTTGACTTCGTACTGTACATTGGTAAAAAAAAAGAAAAGAAGAAAATGCATGTTTGCCAACTTTTCTATCAGCAGAATGAACAAATTATTTTAGGGGTGTTCACAGATTCATGCTGATTCAGCTATGGAAAAATATGGGGGCGTACCGCCCCGATTTTACAAGGCTACTGTTCAAAAATCACCAAAAACAATACAGCTGTTCATGTATATTTCAACAGAATGTGAATAATTCATTATCAGTGTTAGACTTTTCAAATGAATATTAATTTCATGCAACAAAATGTAACTTTTTTGTGATTAACTTGCTTATGGTGGCTACAATTTTTGTTTTTATTTAATAGCACATACTGAAGTGACTGGGAAACAACTGCTGCCCCCAAAAAATACAAAAATGTTTTGGTTTATGTTTTGGTTCTGCACAAATTTAAAATGTAAAACTTTAAGATGATAAAATGTGCTTAAACGTTGGTGTTTTCCATTGAGGAAGACAGCGTAGAAAATAACTGGTTTCTCCCTGCACGTCTCTTAATTCAAAATTGATCAAATTTTGAAGCTGCTGAAGTTCAAACTGAGCAACAGAATGATGAAGAACGATGAAGACAACAGTAACTCAAACCAAGTACGCAGATGAGCATAGGCTACAGCAGCAGAATACCACACTGGATGTCAGTCCTGTCAGCTAAGAACAGAAAACTGAGGCTACAATTAACACAAGCTCACCAAAATTGGGTAATAGATGGGAAAAATGTTGCCTGATCTGACAAATCTCAATTTGTATTGTAACATTCAGACGGCAGGGTCAGAATTTACCTTTAATCAAACCTCAGCAGGTAGCAGAATTGTGTGGGGAACATTTTTTTAATATAGTCTTTTGCTTAAACTCCGCCTGAGTAATGTTGCTGACCATGTTCATCCCTTCATCGCTACACTGTACCCATCAATCTCTGAAGAATGCTTCCAGCTCCTTTGTGAGTCTATGCCACAAGGAATTATGACAGTTATGAAGGCAAAAGGGAGTCAAAGTTATTACTAGTAAGGTGTATCTAATGAAGTGGCCGGTGAGTGTAACTTAAGTTTCGTCTCGTGATGGCGTGTCTCATTACTTGGACAACATTGCACACACTTGTATAAATGTGTTTTTCAGCTATTTGTTGCTTATTTCTTCAAATGGTGGGTAATTTTTCTTACAATGTGCCATTTTTTACATAATATAAAATATAATGTAATACATTTCCTGGGGAAATTATTAGGTAAATAAATAGGGGCATCTTTGGCACGGTTACTCGGTTAATTTTCCACTGTTAGGAACATGGAAACAAAATCGTTGCTTTTAGCTGAAAAAGCTGTTAATGTAACTGGATTGGAGGTGCACTGGTTGATCACTGGCTCTAGTTTCCTGATGATTTGTGCCAGATTCTGTTTTGATTTGCCGAAAAAGCCCAACCTCAAACTCTACTGCTGAAAATTTCCCACATAAAAGTCACTGTGAGAGGAAATTGAAAAATGTGTTGGCTTCTAGTAATACCAAAAACACTTTGCACCCTTAACCTCTAAATCATAACAAATTTGAACCGAATTGTATATTTTTATTTTAAAACAAATAAACTTTACAATAAAGTAAAGTGATTTTTTTTGGTGTTAAATCCAAGCCCTGTGTTGTTAATGATAAAACGTATATTGCATATTTTGTGTCTCTAATTTGTAAATACCAAGAAGTGAATGCACCAGTTTCTCAGCATTTTTACACAGCATGAAACAAAAAGCCCCGATAGTACAATATGTGTGTTTATATACATGTAACTGCATGTACTGACATTCTTTCATGAATATACAGTCCATGTTTGTGTAAAGTGTACAAATGTTTGAATGTATTTAACCAAGAAAGTGGAAATGTCTTTTTAAAAACGGTGTTCCTACCCTGTCTGCGGCAGAGAAAGTGAGTTTTGTATTTAAAGGCCACTTTGGTGTCAAATCAGATTCACACTGGACACAATTTATCCTCATATTTTAAGAAAAATCCCCAAAATGGATTTGTTTTGCTCCCAAAAACGCTTGTGTTAAATATGATTGATGTGACTTAACACTGCCTTTTGGACACTGTGAACTTTTGCTACTCTATATTTTTCTATAATGTACACTGAAAAAAACAATGAAGATGACAAAAATACATTTTGGTGCCAATAGTTTGATTGTCATTGCTTTTTTTCCCCTCACATCACCAGCAGGTAAAAATTGAATAACAGTACTGCTATATGGTGACGACCACACCATTTATTGAAAAATATATCAAATAAGTGCAAAAAATCTTTCAAATTCATGATGAAATCTGCTCGTTTTGGACTACAAATGTCTTCTTTTAAAACGGAGACAATGGATTTTAGGATTTTTAAGGATGAGGAAGTAAAAATTGCAAATGCCTAGTACGCCTTGCAGACAACAAGATCAGGAATGTGCAGTTTTAAGACTCTTTATGCCGTTCTATTCAGTTCAAAAAGATCAAATGAACTATTTTATTCAATCGATCTTTCTGATTGATTTAATATCTTGGATGTTTCTACACCACTCTGCAGTATGCTGACTTTACAGCTATCTGCAAATAGACTAAAGACTGAGCTGATACAGCAAAGTTGAATAGAGCACAAGGCAACATAGGCTGGAGCTTTAAGTTTAGAGGTTAGAGGATGTGCTGAATGCCCAACAGATCAGGAGAAATATGATGCCCACACTAGCCTTGCTTCTGAGTAAGATTACGTCCAGGCAGTTGTACCCGAGGATACGAGGTCAAACTGGAGAAACTGACCATGATGATGACATATTTTGCAATTTTAAATCACAGATATTGGAATTTGGGGGGGAAAAACTGCACAAAGGATTTAACTGTAATAAGATTTATTTTGTGTATTAAACCAAAATCAATATTTCCAGCTGAGGTGAGGAGAACCACTGAAATGTCAGCACTTTGGTTTCTAAAAATGATTGTTTCTTCAGCTGTGAATGTTATTAGGAAAAATGCTGCTGTCAGAGTGCCAGGCCAAACGCTGAGAAAGCAGAACCAGGCAGTCTCTATGTGTCCCGCTGTATTAGACCCTCTGAAGTGGTTGATTTTGGTAAATTTTGGTACCTAAAAAGAGTCATGCACCCCCGCCCACCCCCTCACACTTTACCTCATTTGTAGGGACAAACTGGGGCCACAGCCCTGCACAGTTAGAGGTAAGACTAAGTGATGAGCAAGCACAGCTACTTTGTTTTCTTTCTGATGTCACACAAAATCACTCCAACTCCAAGCATGGGCTTGAGCAAATAAATATAAGCTTAAATAAGAGAGGACAGTCATGAAAACAGTGTGACATCACTATCCAGCCCCCAAAATAGACTAGAAATAAAACAAATGGGCTCAAAGGCATAAAAATAATTGCTGATATAGCTTTTCTGTGCACTCAGGTGTTATTCCCTGCAAGTCGTTTGACTGCAAAAGGTCACAAGGTGTTCTTCTTTTAGCGACTTCACTGCCTCCACTTCCCTCATGTCTTTAATATTTGACGTTGTTTGAGAGCAGACGAGCTTACAGGTAAGTCAAAATGGCAACTTTACCATTTTGTATACCGGGGTGAATATGTTTCTATCTTTGCAGGTCAACAGAGTATAACTGATAAATAATACAAACAGCAGGAGCAGGTGGAGAAGGGAGGGAAGGTGCAGGTGCCAGTAAAGCTGAAAACATTATCTGCACTATGTCCTCCGTTTGTTTACTTACTCACGTTACTAATCTGTTAAAGAAGCAGACTTTTACTTTGAAATCTTTTTAGAATGGGCAATTTGAAATCATCTAAGCTTTTGACTAAAGCTTTGATTAAATATCTGGCACCAGTATATTCACAGTGCAACTTAACCGGCTCTACAGTTTTGGGCATGTTACTGGACTAATCAAGCATAACGTTTCATCACTGAAAGTAATTCTTCTGTTCATGAATGCAAGTAAATGACTGTAATTTGGCAAGTAAATAAAAAATAATAAATAAATAATAATAATAATAATAATATGCTTTACCTTTTTCTTAAAACAGTAGATTTGTAAATTCATGGATAACAATTAATAAATTTTAGCCTTTGGTAATTAACCAGTAACTACCAGCACTGTTACTCTGACTGTTAATAACTTCAGTGACATAATTTCATTTAATGTGGTAAATTGGTGGCATTACCCATTACAGTACTGGATAACACTGTATAATAATGTCACATTATTAAGCATTAGCAGGTGCTTAATTTATCATTTATATGTTATTACGCCTCCAGTGTGTTTCATTTATAAATACAGATATGTTTATAAATATATCTGTATTTACAAATGGCATACTAAGGAGGAGTAATGATATATAAATGATGAGCACTTTATAATACCTTAATAATGCTTAATAGTGTGACATTGTTATCTACCTAGCACTTCTGTAAATAGTACTATTATTACTACCTTTACTTCGAGCACTTGAACGTTATTTTTTATGGCATACTTTTGCTGTAAATGTACACAGGGAGACAGTGTGAAATGTACTTGGCATCCTTTGGTACTCATGTGAACAATTAGAATATGCAATGTCAAAAAAAGTAGCGCTAACTCAATAAACAGGATGCACAACACTCTGCATGCCTTCATAATGGTGATTTATGCAGAATGTGGTCTTGGGATAGTCACTGCTGAAGAGCTCTTGATTAGTGACAAATTTCAAAAGCTAAAATTTCAAAGCTGCAGTCGGGTCTGTTGCTTGCCCACCGCTAATTTACCGCGGCCTTTGTGGGATTATTGCTTCTGTAAGATAAAAGGCGCTGCAAGGCCGAGTTCTTAGAAATCCTGCTTTCTGTGACTGAGGCTGTAATCCTGTTTGTGCTTCCCACTGTAAGAGCAGTGCTGCTGGATCATGGCAGTAACAGCTACGTCTGCTGTTGGAGAAGCCACACCTTCCTGCCCCAAAGTACATGACACATGATTAAAAGTGTGGAAGGAAAAATCTTTAAAACACGTAATACGCAACGATGTTTTCTACATGTGCGTGCTTTTTGTGCACATTAAATAAATTCATGGTGTTTCTATGCTTGCCAGGATAAACACCTGCCTGTTTGAATACATACATGCACTTACATATGCTGTTTTTATTAAATATATTAAATCATTTAATAACTATTTACAAAAGGCACCAACCGCTGATTAGCTCACATTTTTAATAAAAGACCAGCGTCTACCCATCAAGTCCCAAATGCTTTACTTCACATCACTGCCCCGAATAGATGGCACTCCAGTGTTTGTTGTTCACAGTCCAGTGAGCAGTTCTGCTCTGCTGTCTGAGAGTTTAATCTGCTGCTAACAAAACGCCGGGTCACCAAAATAGTCAACCCTCACGCAGCATATTAATTTATTTATTCATGTGAATTTCTGTTTCCACCCCTTCCCATTTAGGAGCAGGAAAAGAAGAGTGTAGAGTCCATAAATATTTCACAGTACAAAGAAGATGAACTGCGCTCACTAGTCACTTTATTAGGTACAGCTGTTTGTCTAATCAGTCTCTTTACACAATCTCACCAAAACTGAACAATAAAGACTCGAAAAAAGTTCAGTAAACAATGTGAAAGCAACTTTTCTTGGAACATTTTGGGTCCTTTAGGGCCCTTTAATACCAAATGATAATGATTTAAACCTACCTGAGTATTGTTACTAACCATGTTTGTCACTTCATGATCACAGTGTACTCATTTTCTGATGGCTTCCAGCAGGATAACACATCATCATAAGCTCAATAATCGTGGTCATGTTTCTTAAACTAACCACGATCTCAGTCTAATAAAGCATCTTTGGGATGTGCTGCAACAGGAGATTTGCATGATGGATGTGCAGCCAACAAATCTCCAGCAACTGTGTGACAGTATCACGTCGACATGGACCAAAATCTCGGAGAAATGTTTCCAGCACCCTGTTGAATCAATAATGTGAAGAATTAAGGTAGTTCTGAATGCAACAGGGGCCCAACCCAGTACTGAGAAGGTGTAACTAATAAAGTAGCTGTGCAGTATTTATTCACAAAGGTGTTGTCACTCACTGTTTGCACCTAGTTGGTCCCTGATTTAATAACTTTGAAGGGTTTTTTTGTTGCCAGATATCATTTCTTGTTTGCTCATTTAGTTAATAAGCAGCAGACCCTAACCCATAGTTTCAGTCACAGACATATGCAAGCAGTTTAATAATTTAAAGTGTGAAATCCACCTTTGACATTTACTCATGGAGCTTTTTCCAAATCTTACATAAATACATTAAAATGTAACCACGATTGAGTCTCTGTAAGAGAGCTGGTTGTCTTTACATCCCATAATACAATCCATATTATCCCAACTTGAAGCAAAAACAACTTAATCTGTCCACTTTAAAGCCAGTTAATCTGCTATGTTCACTTGTTTGAAGGTTTCTCTGATCAAAGTGCCTCAGAACATAAATCAGTGTATCAAAGTATTTTTTGTTTTTTTCAATATATGAAAAAAAAGTGCCACGCACTGACACACAGAGGAACATTAGCAATACCTTTATTTTTTTGTTTTTGCCTCCGGGACACTATACATCACATGCTTCCTCTGCAGAAGCCAAAAATAAAGTTTCTGCTTAGATTTTGTTATCCTTGCCAGCGGACCGTTATGTTTTCATCCAGGCTTCATGCGATGCACGCCTGCAGATACAAGAGATCGCGTGAGAGAAGAGATGTGTTATTGACCAGGTGAGTGCAGAGGCATTCAGGTACCTTGGAGGAAAAAAAACAAACAACAGATAAGAACCACTCAGTGTCTCAGAGGGCTGACTAATGGAGGAGCTGGCTTGCGCTATAACATGTTCTTTGTTAAAGCTGAAGCTTCTCTGCAGATACAAGTAAAACATACTGCATGCATCTGTTGTGACATTTTGCTAGAAAATTATTTTAAATGATCTAATAACAACATAAACTCAATTATCTTATGAAAAAAGAAAATGTTGCAGATCTACTCTCAAAATTTTACAGCCAAAAAGCGTTTGGCACAATTCTCAGTTGGAAAACTGTGATCTTTATTTGCAGTTAGACAAACTGAACCAAGAGCTCTTCTAGTAAATTAAAATGTGTTTTTGCAGTTTCAGATGCAGGACAGTCCATCAAATTGATTGTGACCAC